TGGAACAGTATTGCTCTGCTTTGACATTGCATAAGATCTCTAAAAAAAATTTTCAAATGAATTTAAAAACACTGTGACACTCTTAATCTTGATTGAGGCTGTTTCAGACACAGGGCTGCATTGGGCATGTGCCTTGCATCACAGAAAGGCTGTTTGAAGAAACTTAGGTTGTGCAAAGAATTTAAGCAGATCTGAAAGCCACACAATAATTGAGCTAAAGCCTGACCTTCAAATACCTCAAGAGTTGCCACTATGGGATTTTCACCTCTAGAAAGAAAGAAGTTGAAGATAGGTGTGGCACTTCTTCAAGTCTTAGATATGACAAACTCAGCTTAAGACTCCCAGGCTAGTGTAGCCTGAAAAGGACTTGTTCAACTTCATTTCCACAAGCTGCCATTTGCAAGATACAAACCTTTTGGCAAACACAGTATCTTAGGTCTTGCTAAACTCAAATGATCTTGGTTACAGCTCGAAGGGCTCTCTTTGTCTCTGAGGGAGCTCATCCACCCAGCCACTTTGATGTCCCAGAGACAGGAGGGACCCATTGCTTTGAATCTTGCGCCCCCCCCCAAGTCTGCTCTTGCTTTGCAACTGAAACAGGACTGTGCTGTGCTACTGTCCCTCATATAGCTGCACCATATGGTGTGGTAAGGATAGTGATTGGTGGTTTCCCTTGGTTGAAGTTTGAAAGTCACCCACTGCAGGAAAAGCCACTATCAATCACCATAGAGAATATGTGCTGGGGTATTGTTATATGCTCCAGGAACATCATCCAATTTTTTTTTCCAATAAAGGGGCCCAGATTTGTGCAGCCCAGGTGTATTTTATTCTATTTATTTTCCATATTTATATGTTGCTCATTCCCAAACCATTATCAGACATGTTAACTTAGGGGATGCCCTTGAGTACATCGTTCTTCCAAAACCATTATCAACCTGTTCATATTAATCACTTGATGGCGGCAGATAGTTACAGTTTTTCTCTCTTTTGGCTGACATCTGGTGGTCATCCAGATATGGGCAGCCAAGATGCAACTCTAGAAATGCGATGTTGAAAAGCTGGAATTTGAGAAAGGTGTTTTGCTGGATATGTAGAGGTGGATAGGTTAATGTACCCTTCAAAAGACAGCGAATAAAGCATCCGGCGAGTTCTTGCAGATGGGGATCCAGACTCTCTTATAGCCACAGCAATGGTAAATGCAGAGGAAGGCCCTCTCCACCTTTTACCCCCAGTGTTTTGGGATGCACAGAGCCTTGGTCAAGGCAGTGACCATTTTTATGTCAACTGGTCAAACTAACTTTAAAAAAAAGCAAAACATAACAAAGAAAGTAGAGTCCTTGGGGTTCTCTGAGCTTGGTTGTTTCCTTGCAAACATTTTGTTACCCAGCTAGATAACATCTTCAGTGCTAGAAGGGAGAGCAAACCCCCACCTAGCCGGGTAATGAAACATTTGCAAGAAAACCACCAAGCTCAGAGAACTCCAAGAACTCCACAGTTCAACCCTGAGCTACATATATTCTCTTCTATTGGTACCACAAAGAAAGAAGTTATAGAAGCTGGAATTCCAGTCTCCCTTGCAACCAAAATGAAAAAGATTCCTGGAACCCAGATAGAAGGGGGTGATCCCACAGCAGATTTGCTGGACCAGTTGGAGCTGAGCAGATCCCTGACCCTGATGGCATCATCTCAAGCTGCCTCCTCCATGCACCGCAGATTATCTGCGTAGAATGTCCTGGTGTAGCATGGCAAACACCACTTCCACACCAGATCCTGTAAAGCCATGGCCGGGCTGCCTTACCAGCAGGCTGACAATGAGACCGAGATGAAATCATGAAGACATGCCATTGGTAAAGGGTAAGTGGGGTGCCTTTGGCTGGATGAGGAGGTGGCGTGGATGACCTCTGAGTATATAGCAATGTTGCTGTCGGTTTTCCAGCTAGAATAGCAGCCTTTTACCAATGAGGATCCAATAAAGTTTCTTTGCTTCACACCTGCATTAGAACTAATCAGCCAAACTGTCCTGCGAATTGCACTGTATCTCAAGAGAAATTGCACTTTATCACAAGAGAAATATTATCACAGAGTATATGGATTAGCAGGACCCAACAGTTATAAATAGAGGAAACTTCCCAAGATTAAGTCCAGACTCTCTTATAGATTAAGTCTCAGTTCCCAGAGACTTTATGGACACATCCATGCTTTTTTTTTTTCTAGCACTAGTAGGAGAATAACAGCCATTGGCTGCTTCTGGAATGCCTTTTTCAAGTTCTCACTCTAGCCTACAGCTGTGATATTTTCTGACGGTTTTCCATCCAAGCACTAAACAAGGCCAATCCTGCTTAGCTTCCAAGCCTAGACAAGATCAGCTGTTGCTCTTATCTAATGACTTCTAGCTTTATGCTCCCAAATATGGAGTCACTAGCTAATTTGAAATTGCATAAAATCTTGATTTAGCAAGATTGATCCCACACTGCTCTTATCTTATTGAGTGCTGTTCTATCCAATCTAAGAGCTTCCAATAGAGGTGCCTGTCATAAAGCTTGCTATTCAGAATAGTCTGGTTGGTTTATAATTAAGAAGATCAGAGCATGGATCTTTTTATGGATTAGGGTGATCATGATTTGACCCAATCTGGGTCTGTCTGGGATATCTGATCCATACAAGTTTTAAAAAATGCCATTATCATGGGCATGTGGGATTTTACTAGTAACAGTGCTTTGAGATTACCCCCAGGAGATTTTCCAAATTTAAGTTGGATCAACCAAGGCTTGGTTACCTCCTTTAGGGAATGATGGAGCACACTGGAAGGGAGTCAGAAACAGATTAAGTGGAAAGTCTTTGGATAAGGTACAAAGCTATTAAAAGATAATTGAATCTGTAAAATCAATTAACAGCACCAGGAAAATAAATTTTCAGAGGCCACTCTTAACATTTCAAATAAAACTGCTCAAGGCGAACCAGAATTATCCTTC